GCTTTTATAGATCATTAGACACAGTATATGAGTGAGATGTTTGGTAGATAGAACTCAATCATTATTATTCTAATAATTTCACTGAGTTTCATAGAGAATTCTAAACAAACCGTGTTGAGCTTCTTTCCAACAATAAACCATAATTAGCGAAATGACAGAAAAGGGTTGCAAAAAGAAAACCTTTGTATAAGCCCAAATAACAAAGTCGTAAGCTTGGACTTGGACTTGGGCTCAGATGCTGTTAGAATTTTATTCCTCATTTTTTGTAATATGTAGTGAAAGAAAAAAAAAAGGTTATACAATTGTTTTCATCCTATTTACTATTTTGACCGAAAAATCTATAATTTATATATTCAATCAAAATTCAAATCCCAAATTGGATAAAATTCAATGGAATTGAATTAAAAAATAAAGTCTCTATGAATAAAATATTTTTTTAATAGATAATGAAATTGATGGCTATGCTGGGATGAAATAAAGGGCCACGTGCATGAGAAGCTACTAAGAAAGAACCACGAAAGTACATGTGAAGATGAGAATTGAAAATATCCTGAATCCACATTTTTTATGCATATGATTCTTTGGATGCTATTCAATCATAGAACAAGATACACACAGTTTGCTTCTCCCATGTTTTGCTGTATGAATAATGGGTTGCAAGTTAAGAATGATTTAAAGCAAAAAGTAATCAAAGAACAAAAAGATAATCCCAAAAAATTACGCCTATCCATTTAACTCCAACACCATTTGCTGGCATTGGATACTAATTTGGCTACCCTATGACCCGACAAACAGGCCTTATCAGTTTTTAAATGTAAACACACATCAATGGTGAAGCTTTTTGTGACTTAAATCCATAACAACTTAGTTGTATTTCACCATGCAAATCTAATATTTTTGGTTGATCTCCTATTAGTTTAGTTTACTTTAATTAATCCTTTTCAGCTTCCCTTTTTTTTTTTTTTCCTTCTTTTAATTCTTTAATTCTGGCAAAAGAAAAATCCCAACAGTATCAAAGGAATTACTGATAAACAAATAAAAGTACTTTGAAAGCATGTGAAATATCACTTTCACAGAGGGAATCATTTTTCTATCTTGCATCAATCAAGCGTGCCCTGAGAGAGCGATTTGCTTGATCATTTCATTCGAAGAAAAAAATGAGCTGTTGGTACAAAGCTTTTTAGGATTTTCAAATCTCAATTTGGAATACAAAGGAAAACTGTTTTGTGGTACAATTACATTTTTCCGGAAAGTAGGATTTGCATTTTGAGATTAGCCACATATATTGGGGCCAACCTTTAACTTGGACATGTGATACTCCTACTTTGGAAGAGTCATTCCATTCATGTTGCAGTGTAGTAAATGTATCCACCGACACATATTCAGAGAGGGTCAGGGTCAGAGGGAGCCCATAAGATTGTGAGCAAAAAGAGGTAGCAAGTCAACCTCAGCTTGTGAATCTACTCTGATCATTCTAACACACATTTCAATGGTTTCATCACTTCATCTTCAACTAATCATTTATGTAATCTCTATTATTAACCTTCTCAGCAGTTTAATCCGTTACTCTCAACCCACGTAGTATTATTCTGTTACGAAGCATGTGATTAGGTAGATTAGGAAGTGTCTCACACATGCTGCAATATTACAACAATTAAAAAAACACATAAAAGTAATCTATCTTGACCTTTTTCGGAAAATATTGTGCATAGAATACAGATCCGATGATTAACCTAATGCTTGCTATCTCTTCCAAGATTATTTGGTGGCTTTGTGCTATAATAATAGTGGGACATTGTAATTCACTGCAGAAAAAAGAAAGAACAGAAGTTGTTGTGGACGGTTCTTGTGGCATAATTTATGAAAAGTGTTTTCAAGAGGGGGTTTATGTTATGATTGATTGATCACAAAAACTTGATAGCTAATTTAAACCATGGCTCACATGCAGACTGTGAAGTTATTTTTCACGTAAATGATTGAGAGATGAATTCTAAATGTACAAGATATGGTTATAATTATGGCCCTTCTTTTAAAAAAGTACTTCATTCCTGAGCGTATATTAAAATCATGGATGGATCTAAAACAGAGTAGACTTAAAGGCAGTTATAGGATGTTAACTTGTTGTTTTGAATGGATTGTGGAGATGTCAACTTCAAGGCTTGGAAAGTAATTGACAAAGCTGAAAAGTAACAAGAAATTGCAACAATGGAGTATGCATTATTTGATAGGTTTTGATTTGTTGAAATGGAAAGAGAGGGAAGGTACAAAACTTGGTAACGGGGGTCACAAGTTAACTGTCTGGTACTTGTCAATAACTTTGTTTTTGTACCAAGGTACGATATTCCCACGAGGGGGTAACATGCAATCAGGCATCATTTTCCCTTGTTGTTTGTGGCACAAGAGTTGTCCCAGGGGAGCCCCACAAGTTCTTGAGCTTCCTCCTCAATGTGACCAAGCAGACACCGGATCACATGGGTTTTGGTACTCCTTTCTAACATAAGGTTACCTAATGTGGGCTGAAAGCAAGGGAATGAAAGATTTTAATACAAATTGCATCAGTGGGAATGAAAGAAACAACAGCAAAGACAAAAGCACTCCTCAACTATCAAACAAACCCAAAGGGGACCTTCTACACATGGGGTGAGGTGTTTGTTATCGTCAAGTGGAGCCAGCCACCAGAAACCCAAGAATCTTTTGCTAAGTGTGGCTTATTAATGCCTAAGTATTCTATCTATATGTTTTTAAGTTTATCAGAGTAATGTTGATGATGGGATCCAAGGTGAAGATCAAATTTCACGTGATTTTCAATCCCTATAAGTTTCGATCTTCATTTCAGAGATGGTCCTGATTCAGATAAACTATAGCTACCCACAAGCGTCTTCATATCCATCTAACCCGAAAAGCTCTCAAACTCTCTAATATTAAATTAAATCCACTTCTATCTGCCTATGTTGTACTTAGATATATCCTTCAATCCTATCTTTACTAAGCACGACATAATTGAAGTTCTGCATTTATTCACGTCAGAAAATACAACATCAGGAATTCCTGAAGGACCAAAATACCATATTTGGAAAATTGTTTTTCTCGGAGATTATAATTTCATTGCAACAAAACAAGTGATTGGTGATGGGGAAAATAATAAAGACAGTTCCTACCAGAATATTAATGCAGCATAATAAGACTCCTCCAAATTGGGAGAATATGTGAAGAAAATAACAAGAACAAGAGCATATGAGAGTCTCCACATCAAAAACTAGGAGTCGTTGAGACCAGAGGAATAAATGTGTTATGATTAATTAAATGGTGGTATAAGAGACTATCTATGTATGTATACAATTAATCAAAACAAACCAAACAGCAATATTCAGAAATGAGAAAGAAGATGAATAATCTCAAAAATAAAAAGCTACACTTCAAAAATTCACAATTATTTTTCTTCTACCCTTCCCCTATTTGTTCTCATGTTTTGAGTGCAAGTGTTTCAGGTATAATCTTAATCCAATCCCTCCTCTTAAATAAGTGAGACAAATCATCTTTATCTATTTGGATCTATTCTCCAGGAAGAACCGGTCAACCTAACAATTGGTTGTGGTAAAATTATGACAATTCTTTCATACTATCGCAGTTAAGCAGCAATATGGTGCATCTTTTGTTGTTTATCTAAAAATGAAAAGTATGAGGAAAATGGTAATTAGTAAGATGTTACTTACGTGAAACAATATGAATAGTTTTGTCCAGTTAAAAACCCCCCCTTTATATTTACTGGTAGCTTAGAAGGTAAAGAAAATAAGATATGGTTTGAAAGATTGAGGTGAGAAGCATGGAAGCATGGAATGGAGAAAAGTAGAAAAGATATGATACAGAAGAGGAAGTAAAGAAGCGACAAGTAGATGGATTCAAAGAATACAAACAGGTGCACGTGGATAGGACCTGCCACACGTGTACTCAATCATCATGCGGATTCAGAGAAGAGTCTTCTCTCTCTTTCTCTTGCGTTGTGTGATAAGAATAATATAATAATAAAGTTGTAAAGAAAAGAACTAGAAAACAAATAAGCGTTCATGTCTGATTCTGACCTCTGAAGAGAACCGAGTCTAGCTGCTAGTCCTACACTTCTAGGTCTGCACAAGCAACCTCCATTATTATTTTTTCTTAAGTTGCTATCTCAAGGAGAAGAAAAGAAAAAAATACGTTTTCATATTTCATTAAAGCAAAGGAAAGAAACAGAGAAGAATTTTTTTTTTTTCCATTTTCTTTCCAACATATATGTACCAGAGGATTCAGGGTGTGTTTGGAAACCTGTCTCAGTTATGCAAACGGGTTTACACTTTTCAAAGCTTGAAACTGAGAAGTAAAAAAAAACAAGAATATGTTCTACACTGAAAATTAATCATACTCTTATCTTCTCTAACACACACTCTTCTCTAACTTAAAAAAAAATAAAAATAAAAAAAAGACCCTCTTTCTTACTCATTCTTTTATCAAATTTAATTGATGGAAAACATAATGTTATATGTGAATAGGTGGAGTTATGCCAATAGTTAAGATAATTCCATATCTGATATTTATAATCAATTGAAACGTATATATTGATTGTAATGTATAACTTCAATTTACATGACGCGCTAAACTAAATTAATCAATCATTATATTAAAATAAATTTATTTAAAACGTTTAAATTGATGTGATTATAGAATTTTACAAAACCAAATTAATAATTTAACATAGAAGTAAATATTGTTATTTTGAAAATGTGTATGAATTAATACATGTATTTCTTAAAATAATGTCAATATCCACGCGTGCAGGGACATAAAAGATTGTGACATAATTACGGTATTGAATAAAAGAGAAGCAGAAAAATAAGATTGCCACATTTCATATATCTTGATTAGAATCTTGGATATTATCTCATTTTATGTTTTAAGGTATCGTCCCAGATGCGTGATTTAACGGTTTGAAGATAACAAGGAAGCAATTAATAAATATATTCCATCTTTTTCAATGTTTTTCATCACCACATGCCAAATGGAGACTACATAGTTACAACTTGTCGGATATTCATAAAAAATAATGTAATTATGAAAGAGACTTGTGTTAACTATTAAGAGACTCATAAAAAATTACATTTTTTAATAATTTTTATTTATAACAAAAATATTTGTAGAAAAATGAATCCTTATGTTATATATCAAATAACATGTTTGTAATATTAAAAATTTGTACTCAAATTTTATTATGCAAACTCAAGCTCACATAGAGCATAATTATTACACTAGTGTTTTTAGTTGTTAATAGCATGTTACTAATAGCCAAAATAATAGAATAGAATAGAAATAAAAAAAATTAAAATAAAACATCTTTTGTAATTTTATTTGAAAACAAAATAATAGAAAATAAATTTGTAAGTAAATAAGATAAGATTGAGAGTTGATTGGGGTGTGGAAATGATGATGAGATGATAAAAAAGAATCCGTAACAGTGAAAAAGCGTGATGAAGCTATGCACCACATAATCAGAGAGATTGATGCAGTGCGGATTCATTGGTGGAAAAAAACTGAATGAGATGGTTCATGAATGATAACGTCGAAACAAAAATACAAACAATCGTGCACATTTTTGGAGCAAAAGAAGATAACAAAAGTTGATGATTATAGTACACCTATCGAAGCAAAAATGAAGAGCTGAAAAATTTAAAATTTCTTGACAGCCACTGGTCGATAGAATCAGCCAAAAACAGAGCCGTGATCAAAATGGTATGCATTGGCTTTATTCGGACAAAGTGATCAATAAATGTTCCTCACCAATACCATTATGGTGTGGTGAAACTTTGAGAGATATATATAATATATAACATAACATAACATGTAGTAGCAGTAGCAGTAGTAGGAGTAGTATCTTGGGCCAAGCTAGATCCACGATTGAGATAGCTCAAAATGTGGAGCCAAACATCATCAAGAACTACATGACAACCTCACCAGAATTGACCAAAAGAGAAGAAAAAAAAAAGTGATAAACCACCCAAAAATGGTGTTAGGGACTATAGTAAATGTGTCCACTCTTTCTCAACTCTAACTTAGACCCACAATTGCTCCTTCAATTATACATAAAGTTTCTCACGAGTGCACATGTGACATGTATGCAAGCTTTAGAATAAAAATACTGACATTCAGTAGAGATGAAATTAAGTTCTTCCCCTGAAATAAATTCTCCCCAAAGGGAAATTATCAAGATAAAGTTAATGTGACTTTTGGGGATGGAAATTAAGGGATGAAAAGGTACAGAAAAAAGCACAAGAAAACAGAACAGAGACCCTCGTGCAAACTAGTTGTCTCAATGTACATCACAAACTTTTCGGACAAAAAAAAAATGCATAGCACAGACTTTGGTTTAAATGAGAAATAAATGAAAAAAAAAAAGGTATAAACTTGATGCATGCGTGTGGGTAGACATTCCTCTCTTTCTTTTCTGCAACCATTGCCATGGCCCACATCTTCCAACCAATTATTTGACACACCTTTCTTCCACCCTAACATGCTTCTATCTATTTAACCTATCTCCTATCTCCTATCTCCATTCTTCACTTCCCTTAATCTCTTTTCTCATCCACCACCTCAAGTCTTATCGTATGTGCATTGTGATTTTTTATGATCTTTTATTTATTTATTTAAATCAAGTATGTTCATAGCTTAATTTGTTTTCCTAATTAACATGTTCCATTATCTGGACATTTCAACCATAGTTTTAAATTTGAGTTTTTGTGGATGACAAATAATTGAAAACAGATCTTTTGAACCAAAATATTTCAATTCACTGGTGTTGTACGAATAATTTGTATTATATTAATTAATTACTCATATTTCTGTTCACACTCACGGAGTCCTGTCAATTTCGTATTTCTTGATTTCTATAATTAATTAGAAAGAAAACAATGTTTTTTTGTAAGAAAAAATTGACTAGTATTGTACAAGCAAGCATACCTTGAACAATGATTACAACAATCATGTAGCCAAATTTGGATGCTTGTAACAATCATAAGCCAAATTTAGTTTCTGTGGCATCCACAAAAGTTCTTTCTTGCACTATTCAAAGCAGCCAAACCCAATAAACTCTTTTTATGTTTCAAACTCTAAAAAAATCAATTATGAAAAGAGGAACAAATTCTATATAACACTAGTTTCTTAATTAGACTGAACAAATTTATGAAATATTAATTACTTGTACAATTATTTAGCTTGTTTTACTCCTATAAAACTATAATTATCTTCGTAAACCACTCTAAAATAGATTATAATTATTATCATGTGGTTTGCCAATTGCTAACCTTATTCACACAAAAGTTCGTAGCAAGATCATAATCTTGATATTAATATGTATAAGGAATATTTGTTAATAAACTTAATTGCTCGTATATTCTTTGCAATCATTCTCATCTTATTTCACTTTTTTCATATAATTCATCTACATGCATAATCATCATATATTAAAATAATTCACTAACAACTCAAAGGTTAGGTGTTTGTAAGTGGTAACGTGTATGGAAGTGCACTAGAAATACAAACTTTAAAATAAAGCAATTACAATTTTATTATAACATTGGATTTCTTTAGTTTGGTGTTAAGTGGCATTTGGTATAAAAAATTATTCTCAGCTACGATATTTTCTGATGATAAAAATTTCATTAAATATTGTCAAGAAAGTTAAAAAATTTTGACTGTGATTTGTTTAGTTATTGAGCAGTGTTTTTGATGAGCACCTTACAAAGCAAGAAGCTGAAACACAAGAAAGATGAAAAGAGAAAATGACGATGGTAATTTGTGTATAACCCATGCTTCTTATTTGTGACGGGAGAAGAAGAAGAGGTTCATTGTTTGGTGTCAAATCTTTCTACGGATCTGGTGGTAGACCCACACTTTTGTTTTGGTCACTATCCAATCTAACCTTTATGCCACTTGAAGACGTGTCCTCTTCTTCCTGCAAATTTAGTCAAAAAGAAAAAACAAAACCACGATTGAGGAAGGAAATCGATTTTAGCCAGAAAATCACACCACCAACTCACCTCTCGTTGAAATCATGTTAGAGGCGTGATCATCTCGTACTTTTACGTAGAATTTAATCAATCATCAAACTCTCGTACACTTCATCGCCACCACTAATTTTGAAATTACTTTTACTAGTTTTGAATTTAGGATTATTTAATTAATATTGATCTTCCGTCGTAATTCTCATCAAGAATCAAACACAAATCAAGTAATACTTTTTAATTTGCTTCAACTCTTTTAAAGAATGAATAATATTGAACTGAACATATATATTTTACAAATAATACTAAGAAGAAACATATAAAAAAAACAGTACTAAGAAGAAAATGACAGTTTTTATAATAGGATGGCATGGCATTATTCATCTCATCTTGATCCAATGACTTTGATTGGCCACCATCTTTTGTACGGTTCATGTCCAATGTTCAGTCGGTGAACATGGCTGAAACCCACCCTTGTTTCTTCAATTTTTTTAAGGTTTCTAATTTTCAAGATTTTAAGGATAAAGATGAGTTTCGAACAGCGATTTGTGTTCTTTTGTGTATGGTTTTGCCCCCATAAAAAACATGTTCTTGAAGTAAAAAAACATATATGGTAGGTCTAGAAAAGATTAATATACTAATGGCCGAAATTATTACGAGAATTAAACATAATCTCTCAAGCTAAACTTTAAAACTATTAATTTTTTCATCAAATGCAACTTTTCATTTGTTCTGCCGCTCTGACACTAATACTATGGAATTAATTCCTTACTTATAAAGTGTTCACTGTATCAGTCTGATTCAATTTATAGATAAATAAATTAAATTTATATGTATTTTTTACTTTTTCAATTTTTATGATTTTTTTATTATCATTTTCTTAAATATATTATGATAAAATAATTATTTAATATATAATAAAAATATTATACAAAATATAGTTTTAATTTTGTTTCTAGTTACTTTTATATTTAATTTTAAAAAAATAATATATTTTTTAAATTATAAAAAATTAATTAATTCAAAAAATGCCATTCTATATTTTAATTTAAGTAATATATATTATAAATTTAATTTAATTTAGTTTGAATTAATTTCTGATTTTTAAATTGAAAATTAAATCGATTCAATTAATTTTAAAAATCCAAAAATTTTTAAAAATGATTTTGATTAATTTTTATTGTTATTTTTTTCGTTTACTTTTCATAAATATTTATTTAAACAAAGGAAAAAAAAGGAATGATTTCAATGGAAAAGAAAAATTAAAAAAAAATCCTCTCTTTAGAAGGACATGTATTAGGAAGATTTTTTTTTTTAAGTCTTACATAAATATTTTTTCTTCTCAGTTTAGAGAGAAAAAAGAGATAAAGAAAAAAGGTTAGAGGAATATAGAAAATATTACCCTTGTTTATTATATAGTAATTCTTTTTATTTATTTGTATATTATATATATAATCATTTTAATAAAAGTATAACTATTTTTTATTAATATTTTCCTTTTTTTACCTAGTTTTTGAACTTTTTAAAACTAAACATATCATTAATAATGAGTATATTTGATCAATGGTCACGTGTCAACTTGATGGACTTTTGTTTCTTGTCTAAAATTACAGTGTTTTTAATATTCTATGAAGAGTAAAGCTATACCTAAAAAAAATGATAACATTTTTATTTCTCTTTATTATATAATGTATTTTATTTTATTTTTATCTTAAATGATAGGATTATTGAAAAATAGTGACACGACGATAATAGAAGCGTTCTGAGTTAACATTTTATGTTCTGTGACATAAAAGCTTTCATGAGTGCCACCACTTAAAATAATAATTTTGGGATAAAAAAATTATTGTTACATCTTATAATTGAATGACACTATTAAAAATCTTTTACAACATCATTGCTTACATTATTTATTCTTCTTGCTAAAATATTCTCACTTATTTTGATGTTCTTTATCGATCATTTTATGTACCTTTTGTATGTTTTATGTAAGATTATTTTTCTTTAAAAAAAAAAATCAACTTTTTTTAACTTCTAAACGTTATTTACAATATATCTCTTCAAAGTTTTTTTAAATGGCGAAAATATGGAAGAATTGATCCAATAGTTATATATATATATATATATATATATATATATATATATATATATATATATATGTAAGGTGAAGTATCTATCTTCGGTTGGAAAACATCATATGAAACACCAAACTAATTCATTACCTGAGTTATTATGTCATTATCTAAAGTGAAAGACAAATGTTAAGTGATGTTCTTAAGATAAAATAAAAACAAGTTCTTTTATAATTTAAAATAAAAAATTGTTTTAACTTTGTTAATTAATGTCCTTAGAAACAAAAAATTACTTTGCGTGTCTCTCATGAAGTCTCGACCATGCAAACTTTTGCCATCAACAAGGAGGCCAAAACCGAACAGTTAATCAATAACCATCTCTGAAAAAGTGTGTACGCTATCTGAGTTGGTTTCTGAGACACTGCATGTTCATTTCCTTGTTAATTCAACCGGATGTGATTAGCAGAAAACTAAGTACTTATCTACGTAGCTGCAAATGATGAATTCTTTACTCATATTTATTCGACAAATCACATAACTGAGATAGAAATTATCAGTCACAGATGTTTACAACGTGTTTTATTGGGACGGTAACAATTTTTGCAATGGAACTTCATATTGGTTAAGATATAAATGGCAAGACTTTTCTTTCATGATTATGATTTATGTGATACATGTAAATATTTAATAGGTGTATGTGTACACATACTAATTCTGGGTTTGTTTTCCTTTTCGTGTTTCTTTCTTTTTTGCATGGACATGATTGAGATGGATGTGGCTTCTTGTTAAGTAATTCACCCATTGCGGAAGGCCACAATATGAACAGTCCAAAAAGTCAAGAACACAGTTGAATGATTCCCTAGGAATTACAGTCCCACAAGATGAAACTATGGAACTGCAACATGGCGAGTCTAAAGTTAGAAACCTGTTGTTACTAGTTATTATGAATTTTTTACATTCCATTTTATTATAAATTAATTCACTGTGCAAAAGATTGTGACTATCACTTAGTTAAATAGAACACAATTTTTCTATTAGATAAATCTGCTGTATAATATGTAAGTGCATGATAACCAATTACTGTGTCAATCATTATTTTACAATAGAAAGCTAGATAGGATCATCATAAACTAATATTTACTATTTAAGTTTTTAATATATTTACGTGCACATGAAAACTATTGATAAAGTTAAAATAATCTCACACCAATAATTTTCTGAAACTAAAGTCAAAATCAAAGCAGCAATACTCTTATTCCTCAGGGTTGTATTGTTTAAAAAAGAAATAATAATAATAATAGATATTAATAAAAAAACATTTTCCATCCAATGGTAACCCAAATCCAACAGCACCTTGTACAAAAAGAACTGGCGCAGTAAATTAATTACTGTTATATACTTCATTGAACAATCATCAATCAACATCCTTCCAACCGACCCTTCATTACTTCTCTTCCTTCTATAAAGGCAACAGAGGTTTGTTGCCTGAAATCTGTATACTTTTTATACACAAATCATTCTAGTCTGGTAATGTCTGCTGCGTTGAGTTGTGGACTCCCCTGATATCATCCCCAAAAGGCAACTCCTTTTTCCACTCTTATAATCTCGAATTCGTTTTCTTTTTTCTTTGGGGGTTCACTTTTTAATTTTTTAAATCTACAAGGCCTACAACAGGGGATGCCACTAGCCTATAGAGTGGCGGTTTTTGTCTATGTAGCTATTCTTGTTATTTACAAATGGTAGCTCAAGGACCTATATATATGCGTGTATGTGTGTGCACTTCTTGTAATTTCATCTGAAGCAGGCTGTTGGTATCTTCAAGTTTCTTCTTGAGGGCACCAATGGCTTTGTTCATGGAAATTCTTGGTGTTGTTCTGTTGGTGCTCTGTTTTTGCTCTGCTCTCTTGAAGTGGAATGAAGTTAGATACCGGAGGAAAGGCTTGCCTCCTGGCGCAATGGGGTGGCCAGTTTTTGGGGAGACAACTGAGTTTCTTAAGCAAGGTCCAAACTTCATGAAGAACAAGAGGGCAAGGTATGTCCTTGTTTCTCCGTAGTTATGTGCATGTGTTCAAATAAGCTTAGTTATGTTCATTTTTGTATAATTGGAGAAAGTTTCTTTGGTAACATGGTAACAGTTCAAGTAAGTCTTGTGCTTTTGAAGTGAGAATGATTTGTTGCATATTTTATCCTTTTTTTATTCATTGAAAGCTGTTTCATCAGCATCCCCTGCATGACACTGTGACTTGCCAGAGTATTTAAGGTTATGGTGTTTACTAGGCCTAGAATCTTGCGTTTTCATGAGCAGCAGTTTGTGGCTGGTCATTCATGAAGTGGGGTTTAAGTGATGCCAATGAACGTTGTTCCGGAGTAAAATCTATGAACTACTATTCACTCTGTTGTAGTTTTAGGAGTGAAGAGAAGAGGAAAGTGGGGTAGGGTCATACATAAGGCATATACATGAAGATCCATGGAAAGATAAACTCTCACTGTCCTTAATGAATGACACTCACATCATCAACGTGTGAAATGAAAAAGAGAATTTGGATATGCACAACAATTTTTTTTCGCATAGTTGTTTTTTGTAGAACAAAGAGAGACATAATTGATGTGATGGACATATGAAAAAAAAGAAGGTTGTAGAGATTGTTGAAAAAGAGTGTAATAGGAATAACACGAAAAAGAAAACATACCTGTTGGACAAAACATGATCTTAGCGATATATTTCCTCAAACTAGTTAAACTGGGGGTGTAAGTTAAATACTGTTCATGCTTGTACTTTTGGTCTTTTACCTCATTGGTTATGATTATAACTTTTTTTCTTCTCTTTTGCAAATGGCAGGTATGGCAGTTTTTTCAAATCTCACATTCTCGGGTGTCCTACTATTGTATCCATGGATCCGGAGCTTAATAGATTCATACTGATGAATGAAGCAAAAGGGCTTGTTCCGGGGTACCCACAATCCATGTTAGATATTCTAGGCAAACGCAATATTGCAGCTGTTCATGGCTCCACTCACAAGTACATGAGAGGGGCACTGCTTTCAATCATTAGCCCCACCTTGATCAGGGATCAGCTTTTACCAAAAGTTGATGAGTTCATGAGAAGCCATTTGATTGATTGGGATAACAAAGTCATAAACATTCAACAGAAAACTAAAGAGGTTTGTATCACCATCAATTGAAAACTGAATATACTTCACAAAGTAACAGGAAACGTTTATCAGATTTCTTGACATCAAATTCTCAAATATTTGGAACAGATGGCATTTCTCTCTTCCCTGAAGCAGATTGCTGGTATGGAATCCAGCTCAATAGCTCAACCCTTCATGACAGAGTTCTTTAAACTAGTTTTAGGAACACTCTCGTTGCCTATTAACCTTCCTAGCACAAATTATCGCCGTGGATTGCAGGTATGGTGCTTGATCTTTATCCATCGGTGTTTGATATTGATCCTGTTTGGTCTCAAGTTAAGAAAGAAAAATAATTTAGCTCAAAATCTTCTGTGTGAAGATTGGAACAACTTTTGTAGAGTATCTGATAAAAAGTAATACTGAATTCTACTATTAATTTTTTTTTAAATAAACACAATTTACTTTATTCTAAAATCAAATTTACCAGAATATATATTACAAATTCACTTTTACTAATGTAACAATCAAAATACACATGTTTCACAGATTTATAAGACCATTCAGATAATCACATTGCACTCTATTTCTTTGATTATAGATTGATATGTATACTTTAACATGTCTTGTAGGCAAGAAAGAGTATTATCAGCATTCTGAGTCAGTTGCTATCTGAAAGGAAAGCATCCCAAGATGCCCACGTGGACATGCTTGGTTGCTTGATGAACAAAGATAAAAACCGATACAAACTAACTGATGAGGAGATCATTGATCTTGTTATTACAATTATGTATTCTGGTTATGAAACTGTTTCAACTACATCAATGATGGCAGTGAAGTATCTCCATGACCATCCCAAAGTTCTTGAAGAAATGAGAGTGAGTGCAAAAATAATCATGTTCCCTAGGTATCTTTGTTTTCGTTTTATTGTATTGTCTGTCCTGACTGTGACAACACTGAATGCAGAAAGAGCACTTTGCCATAAGGGAAAGAAAAAAGCCAGAGGATCCAATAGACTGTAATGATCTCAAATCAATGAGGTTTACTCGTGCGGTGAGATGCGGCTGTCTTTTCATTAATGTTATTCTGTTTGATTTGGTTTTTTTCTTTTGGATAATTGTGTTGAATCTTTTATCACAATTTTGATATTGTTTGCCATCTCTGCCTTTTGCAGGTGATTTTTGAGACCTCGAGATTAGCTACAATAGTTAATGGGGTTCTAAGAAAAACAACTCACGACATGGAACTAAACGGTGGGTGATAGTATGTCTCAAGCTTTTGTTGTATTCTTAGGTTTATGGGCTCAAGAAGCTATTTTTGACTTTTGGGGTCTTCTTTCAGTAACTTTTTCTGCATCAACAAAACTTGTTAGAAAGCACCCGGTAAATTATCTATCCCTAGGATAATGTAATTGTACACATGGCATTACCTAAGAGATAAACTTCCTAACTGGACCCATTCCACTGTTCCATTAGTATAGAACAAGTTTTCCATACAAGTGGTTCGATCCCAAAATCTTCTTGGTTACTGGTCTTACTTTAGATTTTTAATGTTTTAGTCATAGATGGAAATCATGAAAGGGGCCATTTATGGATTTCACAAAACGATGTTCACTTTTTTAAACAACAATATGTGTCACCTAGCATCTTCTTAAAGCAATTAAGAGACTTATTGGAGCTTTTCTACGTGTTTTCAGGGTATTTGATTCCTAAAGGGTGGAGGATATATGTATATACGAGAGAGATCAATTATGATCCATTTCTGTATCATGATCCACTAACATTCAACCCATGGAGATGGCTGGTTTGTAACAACACACCCTATATTTTTTTTCTTTTCTTTTTAACATTTAAATACGAAGCTTTGCAAATTGCAAAACAGCATAATTAATGATCAACTGCAAAATGCAGGGTAACAGTCTGGAGTCACAAAGCCACTTCTTGATATTTGGAGGGGGCACCAGACAATGTCCTGGGAAGGAGTTGGGGATAGCGGAAATTTCCACTTTCTTGCATTACTTTGTAACTAGATACAGGTGAGAGAGTTCATCTATTTACCTCTTCAACATCCATCACATCAAAATTCGTTTGTTTGAGGTTACTGATCCTTCACATTAACAAAACCATGGTTTGTCTGTTTCGAATATCTAATGTGATAAACACATGCAGTTTCTGACATGTGATATTTAATGTCCATTGTAGGTGGGAAGAAGTAGGAGGCGATAAACTAATGAAGTTTCCTAGAGTTGTGGCACCAAACGGACTGCACATAAGGGTCTCATCTTTTACTAACTAGGCTTTGTGCATGTACAGTAATGAGATATAGGAAACAGTAGGGTCCAAGGTTCTTTTGTATGATAATATGCTCTAACAAGTAGAGAAATCAATGAAATTAGCCTCTTTCCATTCATGTTTTTCTTCCTTCTTTTCGTACAATTTTGAAGACCCTTTTGACTTAAGGAAAATTTTAAGGGCAATGAAGAAATGTGGGGGCATGAAGTGTAAGAGGATGCTTAAGTCAGTGACTGGTTATAGGCCTGACTTGTCAGTACTGAGGCCTAGCCCAAGCTTATTTAGCAAACCTTTGAGCGTATATTCATTTGTGGATCAGAGTAGAACATGGTTTAGTCAAGGCTAGATGCTAGATGCTAGTGTGCCATACTCTAGGATGCTCCTTTCCCTTTCAAATGATGCACACTTGGTCAGCATGGGCTAGCCCGGAAAGTCTTGGGCTCAGGTTTCAAAGCCTTTGCTAAGCGTATCTATCAATTCAAATGGCAGGATTCAGTTTGAACAAAGACTAAATTCATATTCGTGTTCTTGAAGACTTCAACCCTCTATTTCATAATACAAAAAAGAAAGAGAATTAATGAGAAATGGGAAGTGGATACGCATGTGGGTCGGTTCGGTGGAAAAGCAACGATTTTTTTAAGAAAGGTGTGTGATTCATGAGAAAACTTCACACGGTTTGCAGAAGAAAGACCAATAAAATTATGTTTAGTTTGCTACCCTTTGTAACTCACTTATTATACAAACATAATCTACTATGCTTTGGTTAACAACATGAATAAATCAGAACCATAATAAAAGAACAGAAAATCAATCAAAATTAGCACTTTATGTTTTATACGTGTAATAACCCATAAATTCTACTTAAAATTCTCACTAAAGGAAGAATGAAATAATATTCACCTATTATAGGTATAATAGTTCAGTTTACCTCATACATCAAAAGTCATAATTACATTAATGTATTATGTATAATTACATAGCACAAAATAACTCCTTCAAATTTAAGAGGTCTCTATTCCATTTCTCAAATCACTGGGCTTACTACCACTTCCAGAAGATTCTTCCAGAAGATTTGGAATCTGCTCATGTGTATAACACGATCATAACAGGATCCCAAAAGATCAAGCACACAACAAAAATAAGAGTAAATTACCATTTGATTAAACATGTAGAATAGTGTAACATTGCAAACAACACTTATTCATTCACAAACATCCTAAGGCTAGACTCACACTCACAGGAGAGTCTAGCATCCTACAATCGCAATCGCAACCACACAATAAGACTGATGCTTTCTGGAAAATTATATGGAATTCAGACCAGTAAGGCAGACACCTGATGAGGAATATTTGGGATCCCATACCCTTAAATTTTTATGGTCTTAGGCTTATAATATCATTTTTCAACTTCTCATCAGAGCAACACACGCATAGGATTGACACTATGTTATGTCTCCATCGACTTTCCACCACAGATGTCTTCGTCTATATGACTAAGAACATCTTGGAAGTCTGGATGCCCTATTACGCCTATCCATAATTCCATACACACTATTCTACACAGTACATCAAGTCTATCATTCAACAACTATCATAGTTTTTCTTTGGATCTTACAACCTGTATTCTCACATTATCAGGTCTTAGTGCCCTTCACATTTCATTATTAACTCATATTCAACATAGAATAGTCAAAGGATGCAACAAAATATTAATAAACCAACTGTGGGTGACCTGCTGTCAGTGTAATCAATTACAACTGGTCTGGTAATCGATTACCAGAGAGAAATTGGATTTCTAATTCCCTCGTAGTAATCGATTACCACATCACTGTAAAGATTACACCCTGCAAAGTCAGATTATGCAGGTGCAATATTTCAGCAAACACACAGCTAGTACAACTCAGAATTTCCAGAATCAAACCAATATTATGCAGTTCACAATGTCCAGCCCAACATTAAAATTCTCAAACTCTTGTGTAATCACAATTCACTTAAAACGGTACATCCTTTCTCCTTCAAACCAACATAGACCAACCATACAATTTATAAACTCAATAATACAAAGATATCTATTTCAGCCAATCTATTTCAAAATAGTTTATATAACAAGGTTTTCCACAAGTGCTCACAATATTATATCACATACAACACTTATATATATATATATATATATATATATATATATATATCACAAACATACTCATTATTCACTTAATTTAATTTTTCATCAATACAATACAGTCAGTAAGGAAAATCAGCTATTATACTCACTCAACCATATACTCTACTAAATCAGTTTTAAGCATCATCCAACTAGCTTATCAAGACAACACCAACTCTTAATTTATATCTAAAACAACTAAACTTCATGGTTTGCTTCAAATTCTAAAATCTCCACTCACCATCAATGCAAGGATTAACAAAACCTAAAGTTTCAACACACGTAAAAATCAAAGAAGTTTTCCTTACTTGTGGGTGATGCTACACGTCAACCTAACTCCAACAAAGTCTTAAAAATGCCAAAACACCTGAGAAGTACCGTTCTCCCCCAATTTGAAAAATCCTAAAAACGAGATTGAAGTGAGAAACAAAATTAACCTCGAGAACATGAAATTGGGGAGTGACGGAGTAAGAGGAAACCTTTTAATTCCACAAATAACTCCTTAAATTCTCAAAACCCCAAATTTTAACCCACAAAAACCTAAAGTTTAAACTCCTTAAATTTTTTTTCATGAAGGAGAAGGGAAACTGGTTTTCTCTCTCTTCCTCTTTTTAATTTTCTTCTTTTAATTAATGTATATTACAATACTCTCCAACAAATTTAAAATTTTCGTCCTCGAAAATTATACTTACCAGGTAAACAGTTGTGGATAGTTCTTCCGCATCTCCTCCCCTAGTTCCCATGTACAATCACTCGACTTGTATTTTAAACCACCTTGACCACTCTGATGGTTTTACCTTTAAGTTGCCTGAGTTGTGAGTCCTCTACTCTCAATGGAGTGGCTTCAAAAGACAAATTTTCTCTCACTTGGATTTCATCAGCTTCCAAAATGTAGCTCAGGTCAGACACGTATTTCCTCAATTGAGATACATGGAATACAGGGTGCAGCCTTGCCAAGGGAGGGGGAAGGACAATCTCATAAGCTACTGGTCCAATACGCCTGATAATCTGATAGGGTCCAATAAATTTCGGGGTTAGCTTCTTGGGTTTTATGACTCTCCCAACTCCAGTCATAGGTACCACTCTGAGACAAACATGATCACCAGCTGAGAACTCCAAGGGTCTCCTCCTCCTGTCCACATAAGACTTTTGGCAGCTCTGTGCAACCTTCATTCTGCTCTGCACTAACCTCACTTTATCTGTAGTTTGTTGCACTAACTCTGGCCCAACCAGGAATTTCTTACCATCTTGATACCAACGCAAGGGGGTCCTACACTTCCTCCCATACAAAACCTCAAAGGGTATCATTCCAATACTAGCATGGAAACTATTATTGTATGTGAATTTTGCTAAGGGAAGTACTTCGTCCCAAGCCCCTATATGATCCAACACACAAGCCCTCAACATATCTTCTAGGGTTTTGATGGTTCTCTCAGACTGCCCGTCTATCTAGGGATGGTAGGCGGTACTAAGCCTTAGTCTAGTTCCTAATGTTGCTTGTAAGGTCTGCCAGAATCGTGAGGTAAACCTTGTGTCTCTGTCTGACACAATGTTGGAGGGTACCCCGTGTAACCTCACCACTTCCTTGATGTACAACTGAGTCAATTTGTCCATAGAAATTCTTAGATTGACCGGCAGGAAGTGGACACACTTAGTCAATCTGTCTACAATGACCCAGATGAAGTCATGTCCTCTAACCGTCCTGGGTAGGTGGGTAATAAAACCCAAAGATATGTTGTCCCATTTCCACTCAGGTAACTCTAGTGGTTGTAGCATTCCACCTGGTCTCTAATGCTCTACCTTGACCTTCTGACATGTTAAGTAGCTAGTAACATATCGTGCTATATCCTGCTTCATCCCAGGCCACCAGAAGGTCTCCTTCAAATTTTGGTACATCTTAGTCACTCCAGGGTGTATACTCAACTTGCTTTTGTGCCCTTCTTCCAGAATTGTTCCTCTCAACTCAATCTTCTGTAGGAATACAAACTCTATCCTTGAATCTAAACACACCATCTGTTCCCAAGACAAACTCCTTTGCTTTTTCTCTACCCAAAGAGTTTCTAATTTGCACAAGGTTATTATCCTTCATCTTACCTTCTTTAATGATTTCCAAGAAGTCATTAGTGATAGTCATCACCCCACAACTGATACTAACTGGTGAAATTTCAAAGCTGAGATTTAGATCTCTGAAGCTCTCTATCAATTCCAATTCTTTAATAATCAGTGCAAGCATTCCAATCACCTTTCTGCTGAGAGCATCTGCCATTACATTGACCTTTCCTGGATGATACATCAACTGGAAGTCATAGTCTTTGATGAATTCCATCCATCTCCTTTGCCTCATGTTCAGCTCCTTCTGATCAAACAAATATTTCAAGCTTTTATGGTCACTGAATACCTCAAATCTAGCTTCATACAAGTAGTGCCTCCAGATTTTTAGAGCAAACACCACAGCTGCTAGCTCCAAGTCGTGTGTGGGATAATTCTTCTCATGGCTCTTTAGTTGTCTAGAAGCATAAGGCACTACCTTTTTATCCTGCATCGGAACACACCCTAACCCCTGACTAGATGCATCACAGAAAACCTCAAATAGTTTGCTTGAATCAGGAATAGTTAGTATGGGTGAGCTGGTCAACCTTTGTTTGAGTTCTAGAAAACTCTTCTCACACTGATCTGTCCAAACAAAGGGGTGGTCTTTCCTTGTGAACCGGGTTAGAGGAGCTACCACTTTGGAAAAATCTTCAATGAACCTCCTGTAATAGTCGGCCAGTCCCACAAAACTTCTAACCTCGGACACTGATTTGGGACGTTCCCAGTCCAAAATTGCTTCTACCTTGGCAGGAT